CCGGCGATCCTTAATTCAATTAGAATATGGGACCTGATGGCCACTAAACACGCCTTCCTTCGAAACAAAGCATTTGAGCCCGGGTTGAGCGCACGGGACTTCCAGTGGAATTGAGGCCACCGGGGTCCAGAGATGTTTTCATATGTACGAAGACGGAGAATTTAGAACGTTTGATAACCTTAAAACCCTAGCACCACTGACCACAAAAGACATATTCAGATACATACAACTTAAGGACTTTACCAAAGACCCCAGAATCTGAAAAGCAGCCAAAATCCCAATCACCTTTTATATACCGAACAGAAAGGCCTGATAACAACCATCTATGCACAGCTCAGCGCCCCAGACCGGGATGATAAGGACCCTAGTTATATCAGCCAATGGGAGACTGACTTGGGACAGAAACTGGAGGGAGGGGACTGGGCAGACATATGGGAAGCAACTGCAAATACCTCGATATGTGTACTACAGCAGGACCAATCATATAAGATGCTCATGAGGTGGTACACCACACCAGTACAGCTACACAAAATGGGCAAAACCAGAAGAGACACATGCTGGAAGGGGTGCGGAAACAATGGCACGTTTGTGCACATGTGGTGGGAGTGCCCAAAAGGTCAGAAGATTTTGGAAGTGAGTTCAGAATCTGCTGCCCGACATCTTTGAGAGACACATAGACCTAGACCCATGGTCTGTCTTACTATCCAAGCCCATCGATTGCCTCCCCAGGAAGCAACAACAGCTCCTGAACAAGGTTACTCTGGCAGCCAGACGGGCCTTGGCCCTCGACCAATTATGTAATAGTGTTAATGGACAAACTAACAGCCCAGATTAGAAACACAGACAAAAATTTCCCAAAAATTTGGCAGCCCTGGGAATCCTACACTAATGAATAAACATCCTCAGATAACATAAGAATAGAGAACGTGGACTGAAGTGAGGGCCCGCCGCGCACCCCGCACTCCCCCTATACCAAACTTGTAACCTCCCCCTTACCCCTCAAAAACTCAAAAGAAATATATGTAACCATTACCTACAAGGTCATAACACCAATGCAACCTTCTTACTTACTAAGCATAGAATTTTACTATTGTATAGAAAAAAGGCAACGGTAGCTCCAGAAGGGCCTAACCAAGTGAACACTGATCATACAATAACTCTTATATAACAAACGAGGCAACACTGGTAAACTATCTGACTACCAGTACCAATTGATTGTTTCCTTTTATACCTAAATTAATTTTCTGTATTAAACATAAGAAATGTAACAATCCAAAGCTCTTATTAACACAAAACTGGGTGCTTCCGAAGAACGAAATACTGTATACACTTCACCTCTGCTTATTTCACCAAATGTACAATCTAAATGTATACTTCAACTGTTCAAATTACTGTATCACATATGGAATGGAATGTTACCCTAAAATAAAGAATAATAAAATAAAGAAGCATGCATGGCATCATAGTTATCTCATTGAAGTGATTATGGTGCCTGGAGATCCCTGTCACCAGTTCATGATTCAGTGTTTTACCATTTTTTGAACAGTTTAATGCTAAATGATGGTTCCTGTGTGCCCATAGTACACCCCAACTCTGCTGATCAGGCTAATTGCCAAGCAATGAAAGATGACAGTGATTGGTTGAGACTGTTAGTTGGCCGCTCACAGCCTATCACACATGCCCATTGCTGATATGCATATGTATGGCTAAGGTACAGTTAGACTCTACTTTACATCCAATAGGAGATGGGCTGTAGGTGGTCAAAGTCCATAATTCAGTGTTCAATCATTCAAACAAAATAACTTTACTGACATATCTTAAAACTGAGGGTATATTAAAAAGAAACTCATTGCTGGATGTTGCCCTTTATTCATTGCCTATTATTCCTGTGACACTGGGTAATTGTCTCATTTACTGTAAATGCCCTCCCTTCCCCCCTGTTCATAATATTGTAAAGTGCTGTGGAATTAGTTGGCACTATATAAATACCAATAATAATAAAAATAATAATAATAATGATAATTGTACTTTATATATAAAAAAAAAAAATATTCACACATCAGTTTTTCACTTTGCACTGTTATTTGAACAGCAAAGAAGATAATAAGCATAGAGGTATTATCATACATGCAAGTCCTGAATAGCAATTCAAGAAAGATACCTATACACATTTTACACAAATATCTTTGAAAAGGTACTTTATATTTAGAAGCATTTTATCGGTTTTTATCTTCATCTCCAAACCAGTTAATGTGTGTCTGGCTCAATGCCGTCCAATAGATTTTTGAGCACAGACCATGAGCCAGCTTAATACTGATAAGGTTGATAAACACAGAAACTGCTGTCAGAGGACAGACATTTTGGTTCATAGAGCCAAGTTTTTGCTGTGGACCGAAGGCTATGTATATATCAGCAGATCATTGCTAAGATAGAATCTAAAAAGTAACTTGCTGTGCTTACTCATTGCAAGCACAGCATGGCATTCTGGGAGTGAGATAGAGACATCACCTTTCTAGCTGTGCTTAAGACAATTTCAAATCTGATTTTTTATAATACTTAAGAACTTTTGATGCCTGGGTACATTTTGTGCTTATTTTTGTCACTTTTGCATTGATGACTAGTGAGATATATATCCATTATGAAATGTCCATACATTTCTAATATAAATAGAGATAGGCAGTCATAGAAAGAAAAAAAAATAACTGCATTTAAGCTATTTGATCCTACTCATAATCACACTCTACAGACACCAATTTCTCCATTAACTAGTTTGTAAATATTTACTGAAACAAATTTCTTAAATCTACCACATTGTACATCAATTAAAAATATGACAAAATGTATCAGCTCAATTTAAACTCTGTATCAAAGGTTGAGTCTAAACCTTAAACCAGAGTTCTCAGACTGCACCCCTCTAGTTATTGGTGCACTGCAGGTCTCATACTTCTTTGATGTACTCATACATGCATAAACAGTTATAGGTGAAGGGGTTTTAGGGCAGCTGGGGTACACAGATTAACCCATACCTTATAGGAACACTTTAAGCACTATAGAAAGGGGTGCGGGGAGACAGCGCCTGTAGAATTGTTCTCAGATCCAGTGATATATAGAACTAGAAAAGCTACAATTTCTGGGGAAATTGTGTGAAGTGTTCTTGCCTCCACCAATAGTCTACAACTGGAGTGGGCGACGTAACTGTTATCATTTATATAACACATTTAATTGCAACGTTGTTGCACAGTTACATTAAACCATACATTTATAAAACATTAGCAGGTGTTCAAAAGGCCCTGTCTATGACATCACTTGCTGCTGCAGCTTGACACAGGTCAGAGTATTTTGGCGGTTGCCATCTTCAAACGGTCGTATCTTAAAAACTATAACTCCTACAGTGAAGAGCTTTATATTGTGAGAATCACAAGACCCAGACCTACATTTTGATGCATAGTATGTCTCTGAAGTATTAAAATTGAAGGCACAGTCGCAGTTTAGAAATTGCACTTCAAATCTGAGCTTTGCAGAGTGAAGTTTCAATGAAAGTCAATGGACGGCGTTAGTTGCAAACAAATGATTATATTGTGAAAACTATCAGGACTATGGCTTAGCCGTTGACATGTTTAGTGGCAGGAGGGATAGCTGAACGTTTTGATATAAGATTTGTGTAGGTGGGCCTGAAAATAAGGGAGTGGTGGCAGTTTAGAAATCATGTCCTGATTTTTCAGCTTTTGCCAGCTCCCACTCTAGCTTTGCCATTCATTCCTATGGGACAAATTGCGCCACAAGAACGACGATATTCCGTGAACCATTCGGCGAAACGTTCCACAAAGTAATAGCAATCCGATCGGGAACAATCTGCACGTTTTGGTAAATTTTTGTCTATGTAGTGTAAAAACTGTGGGAGGAGTTAGGGTGGCAAATTTGGCTATAATAAGAATAAGAATAAGAACTAGAAAAGCTACAATTTCTGGGGAAATTGTGTGAAGTGTTCTTGCCTCCACCAGTAGTCTACAACTGGAGTGGGCGGAGTAACTGTTATCATTTACATAGCACATTTAATTGCAACGTTGTTGCACAGTTACATTAAACCATACATTTATAAAAACATTAGCAGGTGTTCAAAAGGCCCTGTCTATGACATCACTTGCTGCTGCAGCCTGACACAGGTCAGAGTATTTTGGCGGTTGCCATCTTCAAACGGTCGTATTTAAAAACTATAAATCCTACAGTGAAGAGCTTTATATTGTGAGAATCACAAGACCCAGACCTACATTTTGATGCATAGTATGTCTCTGAAGTATTAAAAATGAAGGCACAGTCGCAGTTTAGAAATTGCACTTCAAATTTGAGCTTTGCAGAGTGAAGTTTCAATGAATGTCAATGGACGGCGTTAGTTGCAAACAAATGATTATATTGTGAAAACTATCAGGACTATGGCTTAGCCGTTGACATGTTTAGTGGCAGCAGGGATAGCTGAACGTTTTGATATAAGATTTGTGTAGGTGGGCCTGAAAATAAGGGAGTGGTGGCAGTTTAGAAATCATGTCCTGATTTTTCAGCTTTTGCCAGCTCCCACTCTAGCTTTGCCATTCATTCCTATGGGACAAATTTCGCCACAAGAACGACGATATTCCGTGAACCATTCGGCGAAACGTTCCACAAAGTAATAGCAATCCGATCGGGAACAATCTGCACGTTTTGGTAAATTTTGTCTATGTAGTGTAAAAACTGTGGGAGGAGTTAGGGTGGCAAATTTTGCTATAATAAGAATAATAATAATAATAATAATAATAATATATATGTGAGATAACATTAAGTAGTCTTGCTATGCAAGAACACTTAACTAGAAAAGTTACAATTTCTGGGGAAATTGTGTGAAGTGTTCTTGCCTCCACCTGTAGTCTACAACTGGAGTGGGCGGAGTAACTGTTATCATTTATATAGCACATTTAATTGCAACGTTGTTGCACAGTTACATTAAACCATACATTTATAAAACATTAGCAGGTGTTCAAAAGGCCCTGTCTATGACATCACTTGCTGCTGCAGCTTGACACAGGTCAGAGTATTTTGGCGGTTGCCATCTTCAAACGATCGTATCTTAAAAACTATAACTCCTACAGTGAAGAGCTTTATATTGTGAGAATCACAAGACCCAGACCTACATTTTGATGCATAGTATGTCTCTGAAGTAGTAAAATTGAAGGCACAGTCGCAGTTTAGAAATTGCACTTCAAATTTGAGCTTTGCAGAGTGAAGTTTCAATGAATGTCAATGGACGGCGTTGGTTGCAAACAAATGGTCATATTGTGAAAACTATCAGGACTACGGCTTAGCCGTTGACATGTTTAGTGGCGGCAGGGATAGCTGAACATTTTGATATAAGATTTGTGTAGGTGGGCCTGAAAATAAGGGAGTGGTGGCAGCTTAGAAATCATGTCCTGATTTTTCAGCTTTTGCCAGCTCCCACTCTAGCTTTGCCATTCATTCCTATGGGACAAATTACGCCACAAGAACGACGATATT